CCGGGCGGCCGCCCCGCGGGCGGGCCCGGAGGAGGGGGAGTGAGGCACCGGCCTGCCCGGCCCCTGCCGTGTCCGGTCCCAGCGGACTCAGCCACGGTAATCCGCCGTTCCTCCTTCCCTCCCCAGAGACTTTATCGAGCAGCACTACGTGACCCTGAAGAAGGCGAATCCCGACTTCCCCATCTTGATCCGCGAGTGCTCCGGCGTCCAGCCCAAGCTCTGGGCTCGGTACGGTGAGTGGGGGGTGCCCGCCGGGAGGCGCCACCAGGCGGCTGGAAGCGAGCGCCAGAGCCCTGCCGTCTGCAGCAGGTGGGGGGTTCAGCGATTCAGTAAGGGACATTGATGGAGGGGGAGCAGCTGCCCACGAGGCAAGGTGGGGATTGACTTCAGAGAAGTGTATGTGACCTGGTGGGAGGCAAAAAAGGGACCTGTGGCTCAGAAGGTGGTTTGCTAGCTTCTGACTGTGATCTCCCATGCCTGTAGGATTCCTATACAGAAAAATGTTTCTGTTTTTTCTTTGTTTTCACTGCGCTTTCAGTGAAATGCCAAGGAGCGAGCAGAAAAGCTCCTCCGTAAAAGCTTTGTCTTTTTCCTAAAGCCATCTGGCTTGCACAAAAATAAGTTGGGAACTTTCTTTCAAAGAGATGCAATGACTCTTTAAGCGCAAGTTTCCCAGTGCGAGCACGTGGGCCAGTAGAGCCTGCTGGTATAGTGCCTGTCTCTTGTCTGTATGTAACTTGCAAGGAAATATATCCCTAGGTAGGAGCTGCTGTAGAACAGCAAGTTTTTAGTGCTATTTTACTGAAGTGTTGGTGAGCATCTTGATGTGAGCAGGCTGAAAGCCACCATGTTGCTTTGCATGTGGTGGTGGCCTCTGCCCAGCTGCTGCGCAGCAGAAGTTAACAAAAAGAGGTAAGGAAACGTGTTAGGCTGCATTGGCTTCTCTCCAAGGGAAAGGCTGAGAATAAAGAGAAGGTGGAAACGATAACCTGGGCACAGGGAGGCACACTGGGGAGCGGTGGGTGTGAAAGGGTGGTGATGGGAGCCTGGGCTGTGACACCAGTGGCACTTGTGAAACCTAAAGCAGGGCTTTGGGTTGCCCTTGCACCAGAAAGGGACCAAGGCACCTGCCCCCTCTCTCATCCTCTGTCTTTCCTGCAGAGTTTGGCAAGGAGAAAAGCGTGCTGCTGAACAACTTTACCGTGGATGAAGTGGCCAAGGCCTTGGAGAACATTGTGAAAAGCCAGGTGTGAAGACAGACAGTAAATATGCGCACAGAATCATGCTGAAGACTTGACTGATGATCTTTAATGTAAAATGTGTATCTTTAACTTATCAATCGCATAAATGCAACGTGCTTACCCTGAGCTTCACATGTTGGGTTTAAAGCCAAAAGGAGATGCTGGAGGGAACGGCCGATGCAGCAGGGTTTATATGCACCTCCCGGGCATCAAGAGCCTGTCTGGCCAGGTTGCAGTTCAGCTCTGCCCCTGCACCAAGCTCTGGGGAGGCACAGAGCAGCCTGCTGGTAGCTATGAGGTGGCAAGGATGGAACAGCCGTGTCTTGCCAAGGATCAGCATCCCTGTGCAGCCAGCACTGGCGCTTACAGCTGGCGGTTAGACCCCTAACCAGCCCTTGGGAAAGCAGGGCACAGGGTGAACAAATGGTTTACTCCTCCTTGGAGTGCAGGGGGAGGGAAGGGAGGTGGTGTAGCCTAGGAGAAGGCAGACAACGTGGCATGGCAGGGACTGAAGGTGGAGGCTCCCAGGGGCTGCCCGACCATATCCAGCAGTGCTCGTGCCCGCTCCTGGAGTTCTGGGGTGCTCTGGTGCTGCTCAAGGGCCCGGTGCCCACCTTGCCTGACAAAGTCAGCAGCAGCCTGTGCAAGAGGAGAGGGGTGAGAGCTGGCTGGCTGCTGCAGCTGATCCTGTCTGCCCAGAGCCACCACTGTACAGCCCAGGGAACGGGGCTGAAGGAATTCCCCAGAGCCCTGCCAGACACTGAAGTCCCAAGCGAGGTAAATCCAGCCATGCTGATTGCTGGCCAGGAGTGCACAGAGCTTGAAGTAAACACAACTGAATCAAATGAATCCCCCCATAATAAAAAGGGTACAAATAACCTGCCCAAAAAACAATCATTGTCAATGAAAAGGAACTCCCCAGAGACACAAGAAGGGCTTCCACCTGCTGCATTACAAAAGTGCCCCCCTTGAGACATGTGTCTGGGTGCTGAGGAGTGGGGGGCTAGCATGGCAATGACTGAAGGTAGTATTTAAATAATAATAGTCCCCATCCCTGGCTTTGTGATCTCATGCTTCATTCTGGGGCATGCATCCCCCACTCTTACCTCTGGCCAGTGCAGGAAGAGGAGGTGCAGCAGCTCGAGGCACTGCCCCACCACTTTGGGGTCGGGCAGTGCAAGGGTGGGCAGCAGCAGGGGCAGGGCCAGCTGCTGGTGCAGCTGCTGGCAGTAGGCTGGCCCCTTCTCCGCTATATTGCACAGAACTGTCAGGACCTGGATGGAGAAGCCATGACAGGGAGTGAGCAGCGTTAGCGGGCAGCTTCCCGACAGGCTTAGGAGGGCTCCAAAGAACTCCCCATGTCCTCCCTGGAGGTCCTGCCAGGTGCTTCCCCAAAGCCATCTGCCCACCAAACAGCTGGATTTTGAATGGTCTTTAAAAGCCTTCTCTGTCCCCGTGCCAAACAGACGCAGCTGTACCACCCACCCCTTGGCAGAGCATCCCCCCAGGACCCCCTAAAGCTTTAGGGCCTTCCAAAAGAAGGTGGCAGCAGCCTCCCCAGGCCCACTCTAGGTGCTGGCACGCCTGGCCCCAAGTTAACATCTGCCTTGGGACCCCTCTTCTGTTGGGACAAGACTCTGTCAAGGGTAAATACAGACGTAGTGACTTCAGGGGAGGCGGATGGTGACTCCACCACAGCACGAGACCTTCTGCCAAGGTGTTGCTACCGCCCCAAGCCAACCTCCAACTTGAGCACTGTGCATGCGGGGTTCATGTTCCTGAAAGTCCAGCGCTTCCCCCCAGACCTGGGACACGAGGCAAGGTCTTACCAACACACTGACCATCTGGGAACAGGGCAGGAGCTGCAGCAGGGCTGGGAGCAAGTCCAGGGAGAGCAGAGCGGAGCAGAAGAAGGGCTCATCAGCTAGGGTGAGCAGAGGAGGAACATGTCAATGAAATCGAGGTTTCTGAGGGAGGTGTCTGTAGACAAGATGCCACGAGTCTGCCAGCAATCAAGGCAGGTGACTGCCACAACACAGCAGCAGCTCTGGCTCTGCTGACAGCCCGGCAGGATGCTCACCCGTGAGGTTGTTCAGCAGCCAGAGACACTCCTGTATGATGAATGGATGCTGCTGGAGGAAGCACTGCAGGATGAGGAAGAGGGCAATGAGCAAGCGTTCGTCCTGGATCTGGATTTCGCAGCCCGTCTCCTCTGCAAGCAGGTTACTGAGACACCGCACTACTGGGCAGACGAGCTGTGACGGTGGGAAACACAAAGCCCTTTAGCTGGACCGCATCCCCACAGCAATGCCGAGAACGGCCAGCATCCTGCCCACATCTTACCAGCTCCAGGCCATCAGCAGCATCTTGGGGGATTTCAGAAGCCAGGTCGAGCAAGAGCGAGGTGAGGGCAGGCAAGGCCCCCAGCGAGAGCAATGCTGCGTTGGCTGTATGGCTGCAAAGGGAAGGGAGAGCATAGTTGTTCTCAGCATTCAGAGACGAAAAACTGCTGCAGCCCTCACCAAACAATGGGCCCTGGAAATTTGGAGCGCTCTCCTGAACCACCACAGGGCTTGTTTCATGTTTGAATAGCAGCTTGTTTCTGAGCTTATGAGAAAGTTTAAAAGCTCATGGAAGACAGAGCCACTGGAATTATCTGTGCAGGTCTGGAAACAACAGCCCTGATCCTTCTTTGAGTACCTGCACATTCCTTTCTGCTGGGGCTGCTGAAAGAGATGGCACTGGAGCAGCCACGCCAAGGCAGGCAGAGACTGTTGGCAGTAGCCAGCCCAGCCAGGTACACTGGGCCAACCCCAGAAGCGCGAGGATTCAGGGAGCTTTCCTTGGGAGTGCGGGGGACAACTCCGGATATGGGGAGGTTACTGGGGGTGTGTTCAGAGGACTAGGAACAGCCTCTTCAGGTTTATCACCTGTTATCACCCTGTAAAGGAACTCAGTGATCCTTGAAACAGCATGTGTGTACGCAGATACGAGAGCAGGAAT